CCTTGCACTGAAATGCTGAAAAGCAAGTAAGAAAGGAGGAAATGAACAAGAAGAGTCGCAGCTGGGATCTCCTCATGGACACTGACTGGGGGTGGGCTCTCTCCTTGAGTGACTTTGTAGTTTAGATCTTTAAGACATTTGTTGATTTCACCTAGATTGTCAAAGTTACTGGCATAAAGTTGTTTCATTTAATATCCATTTGGTCCATGTATATTTCTCTCCTTGATATTAACTGGTCTTCTTTTTCATCTTTTCTGATCAGTTTAAGTAGAGGTTTTTCAATTTTACTAGAGGCTCAGTGCACAAAATTTGTGCACGGGTAGGGTCCCTAGGCCTGGGGCGACTGGCGGGGTGATCGGGGGACACCCACGTTGGCTGGCCTGGGGCCTGTGGGCTGGGGCAGCTCCTGCATTGAGCACCTGCCCTCTGGTGGTCAGTGTGCCGTCATAGCCACCGGTCAATCCACTGGTTGTTTTGCTGTTTGGTTGATTTAGATATTAGGCTTTTATTATATAGAACTAGAGGCCCGGTGCATGAAATTTGGGGGGCCCTCAGCCCGGCCTGCACCCTCTCCAATTCAGGACCTCTCAGGGGATGTCCGATTGCCAAGGACATTGGGCCTAAACCGGCAGTTGGCCAACCCTCTCGCAATCTGGGACCGCTGGCTCCTAACTGCTCACCTGCCTGCTTGCCTGATCACCCCTAACTGCCTCTGCCTACTGGCTTAATCGCCCCCTAACTGCTCCCCTGCCAGCCTGATTGTTCCCTAACTGCCATCCCCTATCGGCCTGATCGCCCTCTAACTGTTCCCCCCTGCCAGCCTGATTGCCCCCTAACTGCTCCTTCCTGCTGCCCTGATTGCCCACTAACTGCTCCTTTTTGCTGGCCTGACTGTCTTTAAATGCCTTTGCCTCGGCCCCTGCACTGTGGCTTTGTCCGGAAGGATTTCTGGAAGATGTCTGGGCTAATTAGCATATTACCCTTTTATTAGTATGGATTGTCTCAAGGAATCTGCTTTTATTTAATTGCTTTTTTCTCTTTTCTTTTGATTTCTGCTCTTTGTCATTGTCTCTTTTTTGCTTATTTTGGATTTAACTTATTTTTATTTTTATTTTTTTTAGCTTTTTAAGGCAACACCTGAAGTTTTTGACTGGAGGCTTTCAGTGCCAGGAATTTCCCTTTAAGTACACATTGAGATATGTTGTGTTTCATTTTCATTCATTTCGTTATCTCAAATACTCTCTATATTTTAATTCTTTTCCTCATGAAATATATTAGTTTCCAAATATTTGGAGTTTTCCAGATATCTTTCTGTGCTTGATTTCTAGCTTAATTTCAGTTTAGTCAGAGAACATATTTGTATGACTGGACTTGAGTTCTTTAAAATGTACTGAGACTTGTTTTATGGCCCCAAAGATGTGTATCTTGGTAAATGTTCTATGTGCTTAAAAAATGTGAAGAATGTGTGTTCTGTTGTTTATAGAGTATTCTATAAATGCCTTTTGGTCAGATTGGGTGATAATGTCATATCTTTTCTGTTTTTACTCATTTTCTGTCTTTTTTTCCTAACAATTCCTAAGAGCAGGGTGTTGAAATTTCCAACTGTAACTGTAGATTTGTCCATTTCTCCATTCACTTCTATAATTTTGTGTGTGTGTGTGTGTGTGTGTGTGTGTGTGTGTGTGTGTGGAAAGCTCTTTTATTGGCTGCATGACTGTTTAGAATTGTTATGGCCTCTTGATGAATCTTTATGAAATGGCTTCTTTGCCCCTGGTCAGACCTTTCCCTAAAACTTCCTTTAACTGATATTAGTGCAACTATTGCAGTTTTTTTGACTTGCATTTCCATGCTGTATCTTTTCCAGTTCTGTCTTTTAATCTATCTGTATCTTTATCCTTGTAAGCAGTGTTATACTTGGGTCTGTAAATGTGGGGAAGATTTATTTTACAACTAGAGGCCCGATGCACGAAATTCATGCAAGGGTCTTAGCCCTGGCCCCTGCTTGCTGCTGTAGTGGCTGGTGGCCTCTGTTGCTTCTGCCTCAGCTCCCACCTTGCCCACTGTGGCTTTTCCTGGAGGAAGGATGTCCGGAAGGACATCTGGTGTAATTAGCTTATTACACTTTTATTATTAATCAAGTGCATGACCTTCTCTCTGAGTCATTTTTTGTCATACCTCACATGATGCCTCTTTGAACTCTGACAAAGAAAAACTCTTGTTTTTTCTCCAATCTCACAGCCTTTGCCCTCTGACTGGGGGGTGAAGAGTGTACCATTTGATATGCTAATTGATAGATTTGGGTTTAAAGCTACCATCTTTCTGTTTTCTATTTGTCACTTTTTTGGTTCTTTTTCCCTTTTTGGCCTTTATTTGGGTTATGTTTATGATTGTATTATTTTTAATTGACTTGCTAACTAGAACTTTGGGGCTCCTTTAGGATTTTTAGTGGATAGGCTGCTATCAGGTGATGGTATGACACACTCCACACCTGGGAACACAGGGCCCACACCTGGACCTCCTCTTAGTTTGGGTTATTTTTGATAGGTTCTTAGTATATGATATAAACATCTCAGTAAGTATTCTTTTTGCTTTAAACAGTTCTCTATATAAGAAACTCAAGATAAGAGAACACTTTTACATTTACCTATATGGCTCCCATTTCTGGGGATCTTCATTTCTGTGTGTGGAGCTGTGTGCCTGTCTGGTGTTACATTCCCTCTGCCTGAAGGACTCTTAATAGTTTTTTTGTTTTGTTTGTTTGTTTGTGTGTAGATCTGTTGCAGGTGGGTATTTTCAGTTTTTGCATATCTGAAAATCTCCATTTCTACTTCACCTTTGTTTGAAAGCTAACTGCATGTGAGGTGCCAGTGCAGAGCCCTGAGAAGGTGCTTAGCCAACCTTGTGGTGGACGCTGGGGTAGGACGCATGGAGTTTGGGCAAAACACAGCTCTGGATAGAGTTGTTCATATTTGAGGATAAATAAACAGAAAGAACCAACACTATGGACCTCAGCAAGTTGTCCCAGGGGAGAGAGAATTACACTAAAATGCAGAAGATGAATTTACCTTTAAAAATGATTTATGGTTGAAATCAGAAAACAAATTTTAAAAGACTGGCTGGGAGAAGACGTGACTCCACAAACAGGAGTGCAAGGTGATTAAGAGTGAATCCATGGAGAGGAAAAGATAAGGATGAGTTGTAAAGGGAAATGGTTGGAAATAAATGTTTTGTTAAAATCCATAGTAGAAGCTATAGGAGTACAACTGATCACATGAAAAATAGCAGTGATGTGAATAGCAGAGAACACCCTTGAGAAGATGCCTGGGCATGAGAATAAACAGCAGACATGCCTGTGGTGACAGTGAGTCCAGTCCAATGTAGAAGGATCCCTGAAGAACATTTCCTGAGCAGAAAGACCAATATGTATGGAAAGGTTCATGTTTGGAGCAAAATAAATGAAAGGAGGCTTTTATCATACATCTTCTGAAAGTGTTTTTTTAATTTCAAGATTAAAAATATAATTCTAGCTGAATCCAGACAGAATAAAGTAACAATAGCAACACCACCACCACCACCATCATACTCTGCCCCCAGGGTCTCCATGGGAAGGAAACACTATTGAGCTGATGGAATTTACTGCAATGGGAAGGGTGGGGCAATGCCTACAGATTTTTAGCCAAAAAATGTGAGTTAAGACTTTTATACCCAGCCAGTGTGACTTGTATGAAGGATACAGAACCTAAGGTTTGTTAAGGATTTGCAAAACATATCATCTACATTACCTTTAAGAAAATGATGTTACTTCTGACTAAGAGATGAATAAAAATTCTGAACCTGAGAAAAATATGTCACTGTGTTTCATAGGAAATAACCAGATACAGAACCATAATATAAAGATATTCGATATTAACCACAGAGTTACAGATCCATGTCCTTGGAAACCACCTAAAGACCAACCTTGGAGAGGGATCCCTTCCATGCTGTGTTGGCTGGGGTTCTTTGGTTATAAAGCATAGGGAAAGACTGTCCTTGAGTAATTTAATCAAGAGCAGGAATTTGTCACACTAGCAAAGGAAGAGGGACAGAGGCCCCAGAAGGGCCTTCAGCCAGGCATAACAGGAGAATTTCCAGAATTACCATTTTTTTCAGTCTATTTTCTACATTTTGATGATAAATGTAATATCTGCTCATTTCAAAGTTTAAAAAGTCCCTCATGATGCCACTGCCCAAAGCAAGGGCTTGGTGGTGGGAGTTCCTAGACTTGTCTCAGGCTCTGTCCAGTGACTGACCTATGGGCAAGTCTGATCTTGGGGAGAGGGTTTGTTGAGCTGGCCAGTCACATGCCACCCACCTGGCATGGGGGTGGGGCAGCTCTGTCACAATGCCTTCCAGTTTGTGCTGCCAGGAGTGTTATGGACCCTAAAACTAGCTGTAATGTCAGCACAGATAGTAGGAAATGGGGCTGGGAGCTGGCAGTGTGGGCAAAAGGCAAAGGAAAGCATGTCAGGATATTACCAAATGTCTGCCTCTGTGATGGCATCATGGGTGATTTTAAACACTTTCCTGTGATGCGTGCATGCTACTTTTATAATGAGAAAATGGAAATCAGCTGAGGAAATGGTAATTGTGGTGGTGGAAATGTGGGGGATGATTTAAGTGAGGAGGGCTTACTGCAGACTGGGACTCAGATTGCAGTTAGGAAAGATTTGGTGTGTGTGTGTGGATGTGGGCTGGATGGGAGTGTGCACACATGAAAACTGGTGGGAATGAGCCAGAGTGACTCCCTGAGACACACTCTCCACTCATGGTGCCCCGGTTAGAAACGCTGCCCTGTGGATCGTTTCACTTATATTCACATGTGTTTACTAACAACCCCAGTGCTTCCTGTCAGCAGAAACGCCCAGATGAATTGTTTTACCAGTTGGCGGTGAAATGATGAAAACATATCCGGGTTTCCTTGGGTCGCCTCCTGACTGGCCTGTTTCTGTCTCCCCATGCAGGTCCTCCCCTGAACTGGTGGACACGTTGCTGTGGACCGCCCAGCATTGACGTGGCCGAGGCTGTGGCCCCCGCCCGCTGCTGGATTTGGATGTGTTGGCGGGACTCTGGAGCTCTGTGCAGCATTGTGTCCGTGGAAGTTTCGAGCCATTGATTTGTGAAGAGCAGACGGTGCTAGCGATGAGCTCCCAAAGCCACCCAGGTAAGGGGCTGCGGGCTGTCCTGGGCAGAAAGGAAGTCACTGCAGCTGCAATGTCTCACTGGTGGGAGACTGGTTTTCTTGACAGTCGCCCCTGGTGGTCTGACAGCAGCCGGTGCAGAGTAAATTATCCTTGGGAAAGACACATTGTAGAGTAGGGGTGTCGAACTCAATCAGAGAAGGGGCCAAAATCTAAAATCCAGCCTAAATCGCGGGCCGAATGGTTTACTGAACAGTCATAAACTGTCATTGTGATGGAAACGCAGCAGAGTGCAGTGATGACAGCGCGGTGCGGGCCACATTGCAAGGCCTGGCGGGACGGATTTGGCCCGCAGGCCTTGTGTTTGACATATGTGTTGTAGAGCCCTCGGGAGACTCAGGCCCCATCTTTGCTGAATTGCACACTGACTTGAGTGGCAGATGTGTGTCCTAGACACCAGGAGACAAGAATGTTGCTTTAGTGAGGTGGGGTTCAAAGGTCAGTTTGTGATTTGGAAAGTTAATTTCTCACCCAGTTTCTTTGTTCCTGGGGACTCAGGGGTAGGGGTGATTCTGTGACAGGGCTCTGCTCCTGGATTGAGTTTTATTAGGCCCTACACTAAGCATGTCACATGATTCAGTCTTTACAATGCCCTGAAAATCTCATCCTGTAGGGAAGGGGTGCTTTGCCCATGGTCATAGAGTTAGTAAGTGGCTGAACAGGACTGAAAACCATGCTTGTGTGGCCTTTGGCTTCAGAAATGTGTTGTGGGTACCCACCATTAGGTCAAGTCCCAGTGCAGTTGCTTGATGAAAGCCTGAGTCCTGATCGCTGCCACTCCCAGCAGGTCTGTCCTGTGTCCACGTGGGAGGGGTGGCAGTGGCCACTGGACAGAACTGGGCATCCTCAGTGTGACTGGGGAGTCTGGTCTGTGCCTCTGGGATGGCCCAGAACCTGCACACACTCTTTCTCCCTTGGCCCGACTGGAGTGGCTGAAACGAGGCTAGGATTCCCAGTTATATTTAGATAGGAAGGCTTTATTGAGATAAATTGTTCATGTTTGATTGATAAAATCTGTAAAACAAATTTAAGCATCTGGATTGAAGTGTGTCAAGCAGACCTTGAGGGGTGCCCAGCTCTCCCTCCCAATGAGGGAGCTGGGCTTCCTTCCCATGTCTGAGCACAGGGGCTGCGTGCAAGCATTTCAGTGGCATGCGGCCATCTCATCTGTGGGCTTCTGTGTTATTTTTTTTTTTCCATCTTAATGTATTATGAGCACTTTTTTGATGTCAGTATGTGTATAAGTCTAAATTATTTTGATGGCTTGTAGATGAATATTTATGTGATTGCAGCACTATTTATAGCAGCCCCAAATTGGCATCGGACAATTATTATATGTATACTTTGTACATGCACTTCTATAAGCATCTGTCTGCACTGGATCAATTCTAAGAAGCAGAATTACTCCGTCAGTGAGCATGGTGGGTGTGCATGTTTAAAATGTTAAGTTTGTTCTCAGAATGCTCTAGAACCTGTCAGCTTATCTTTTGGTAACCCAGGTGTCTGAATAAAATACAATGTATTTCTCTTTGTTACGCGTGTCTTTGCCAAGAAGTTAATTGAGTTTCCTGAAAGCGTTTCTGCCCTTGGTTTCTTGGGCTGAACAACATATCCCCTCCCACTTATCATAACTTATCATAACCTTCCAAGCCTTCCTTCTCTTTAGGCTTGTCTCAGGAAGGAGCAGAGTGCTGCACTGGCTTTCTCTCCCCTGAGAATCTGCCTTTATATGCGGGTTTGCCCATCCGTGTTTATTGCAATCACTACCCTATCTGGCCATGTGTGTCGTTGCCGCCAGCTGATTCCTGAGGCCTCTGTCCCTCCTTGGATTGGAGACTGAAGATGGAAGAGGGGCTGGAACTGGTGAGAGCAGGGCTGCCTTGGAGGCTGAGCCTCCTCTGTCGGTGGTGGCATGCTCAGGGCCCAAGCTCTTGGGTACTCCTGCTCTCTGCAGTGCTCAGGTACCCTTCAGGAGCCACCTTTATTCTCAGAGTAGCTTCTGGAGTTGTAGCAAGGGACCCCAAACAGTGCTGGCCCGCTGCAGGGGGCTGGGCTGGGCTTGGATCTGTACCCTCCCTGTGTGAGGGCTGTTGTCTGTCTTGCCGGGTGGTGGGTTGATCACTAGAGATTGTTTTCCTGTCACTTTGATCCCATCAAATTTATATTTTCTTGGAAACTCCTCCTAGTTTTGGTCAGCTGAGCTATTCCCCACTGACTAGCATTGCTATATATCCTTTTATATTTCTGTTTATATTTAATAATTTAGTGGGGAGGAAGAGATATAATGAATACTCATTTATTCAGTTTGCTATTTTGATTGGGAAGTTTCTTCAAACCGAGGAGGTCTCATCCCCACTGGACCTTACTGCGCAGCCTCCCTGCTATGGGCCCCTCTCCCCCTCATCATCCAAGCGGTTTCTGTCTGGCTGTGACCTGCTCTGCCTTGCCCCCTGAAGCCCTCACTATCCCCCAGAGCCCTCTTCCCTGGGGCCCTTCCTCCCTCCCCCCCACTGTCCCCTGGGGCCTTCACTGTCGCCCAGTGTCTTCACTCTTTCCTGGGGCCCTTACTGTCCCCTGGGGCCCTCATTGTCCCCTGGGGCCTTCACTCTTCCTTGGGCCCTCACTGCCCCCTCACGGTTTCCCGGGGCCCTCTCTGTACCCTGGGGCCCTTGCTGTTGTCTCCTCACTCACACTTGCTGTGCAACTCGCCTTTGCCCTGATGATAAAATGACCTTTTTATTTGAAGTGCTTGATTTTTTTCTCTCCTGTTTTCCCTTCAAACTCCCTCTGGTGGGTGAGGCATGCAGTAGGGTTTTATTGCCGTTCTTTATGAATGCCGCCAGAGCTGGGCTCTGGTTCTCTGACGTAAAACTGCTCACTGCTGGTTTTATTGCTCTGAATCAGTGTTTGTACTGATGGGAGCAGCCTGCGGAAAGGGCCTGAATTGATTTAGTCTCAAAGAACTCCTCTTTGACAGTAAGAAGAGTGGGAAGAGGTTCTGAAATATGGCGCTTTTTGCCTAATTCCATGCTCCAAATCTTTGCCTGTTGGGACGTGCTGAAACAGATCAGGATGAACATATAGGAAGGACACAGAGCCCCTGCCTGGACAAGGCATCCCCGAGTGACATGGAGGGAACTTGACCCTGTGTGGGTGGGCCTGTCCTCGGGATGAGCGAAGGCTCCCTTTCCTACCCTGCCTTTGTTCCACTCCCATGCAGTCAGCAGGCTGGCCTGTGAGCAGTGTGCTGAGACCTGGGAGCCTGGCTGGCTTGCTGAGAACTGTTCCTCAGCGGCTTTCTAACACCACCTGCCCCCCACCCTACAGTTTACCTTCTTTGCACCATTTCTGCCTGAAGAAACACTGTCAGTCACAAGGCTTGTACTGGTGGGTGTTATGGACCTGTGTGTAGTCATGCAGACTTGACCCTTGATAGGAAACTGGTTGAGCAGGATGGAATTGGGAAACTCAAGTGTTCTATCTTCTGCATCTCGGGAAGAGGTGTGTAACAGTGTTTAGTTATAAGCAAGTAACTATTTTGAGGGAAACTTGTATATTTAAGAGCAGTGTTTTAATTTGGACTATTCTTTGGTTTCCTAATATTCTATTGAGTTTGAAATATCCCCTCTGCACAAAAGCAGCTAAAAAGTTTTGTCAGTAATAGCTTAGTTGAGTCTTGATGTGGTTTGATTTCTTTAGATCATGCTAACGTTTTCATCTGGAGGTCTTCCCGGGGGAGGCTCTGCCTTGTTCTGGTCTGAGCTGGGCTGGCTGCTTCAGTCTTTGTGCTCCTGTCTCCTGTGCTTGATCTTGAGTCTGTTCATTGCCACCAAGGTTAGTATAATTTAGGATATAAGTTTTCTTAAAAAGAAACTTAAATTATGCTTTGCAATGCCAGACTGTTTCAGGATTCTACAAAGTTTTAAGGACTTTAAAGAGAGAAAATGAATTTTGAGGACCTGCATTTAACATAGAGAAGACATCAATTCCAAGCTTCGGGTAATATGCGGGTTCTGGACCTAGTGAGGCCCTGGTTGGGAGAAGTGACTAACCTGAGAGCTGGGGGTTCCTGGCAGGGGTGGGGCTGAGGCCCGAGGATACAGGGGAGGGTAGAACAGTCAGTGACATAGAGGGTAGAACAGTCACTGACACAGCTGCATGCAGGTGTGTTGGAGGAAGACTAATCGGAAGGATTGAAATTTGGTACAGAAGGGCTCTGAGCCTCTTGTGCAGCTTCCTTCTGCACCTGAAGGAAGGGTTTCAGAAATGCCCCTGAGCCTTCCCGCCCCAGGCCCTCCAGGCTGTTGAGAAGCCCAAGGGCACATGTGCAGCTTGAGCTGTCACTCCCCGACTTCCACTCTCTGGGAATTTAATCAGTCAGGATTTGTTCTGGAAATCACAGAGACAGAACGACTTCTTTTTCAACCTGCTTCTTTTTTTAATCCTCAAATTGTGTTTTGTCTTTAAAAATCACAAATCCTCAGAACATTCACTGTCAATGGAGCATTGATGGGTTGTTTTGGCAATTTTCTGAAATCCTTATACAGTTTGTGGAACATTTGCATTTATGCCCCTTTTTTCAAAGCCACCATTGTGGAAATGCAAATTTCTGAGTTCTGAGATGCTGAATGTTGGGTGATTAATGACATTGAGATTTAAGAATGAGTTCCCGGATGGATTTGACATACAAACTCAACATCAGAGACCATTGAGTGCAGCTTGGTGCCGGAACCAGAAGCTGTAATTGGAGCGCCTGGCAGTGGGCAGTCAAAGCAGACAGGTGTGCAGGTGTTCCGCCCCTCCTGACGCTGGGCTCCAGAAGGGGGTGCTGGCGTAATTTGGACTCTGTTTTACCGTAGGTGTTTAAAACTTGTAGTACGTAGTAATACATTCGCGTTGGTTATATGCTTGCTCTAAGTCAAAACCTGCTATGCTTTTAGGCCATAATGAGTAGTGGCTTTGT